CAACTTATTATTCAAACTTCAATTGCTTTGTCTAAAAGCATCTTGAGTTTAAGGGGGAGTGTTAGCGTATGGATATCTTGTTAGTATTAATATACATCATTATGAATACATATCAATACAGATATGTATATGTATGGGTATATATCTCTCTTAATTAGGTATCTCTTGATTATGATAAGAGTAGTTGGTAATTATCCATAACTATTAGTATTTATCTTTAATTGTTATTGGCTGTATATTTATACGAGTCTTGTATATTCTTGATTAATCAATTAATAAAGTGAGAGTTCTCTGCAGTATTTTGAGTTTCTAACAGAACCAATAGGCCATAAGATGAGAAAAAGTAGACTTAGGTGGGCAGGTCATGTGTACCAACACCTATTAAGAGGTGCAAATTAACTCAAGTGGTAGGACCAAATGGACATAGTTGGAAGTAGTGAAAAAAAAATGTAGACTTTTAGCCTCACTGAGGGTATGAGCTTTAATAGAGTAGAATGACGGACCAGGATTTATGTAGCTAACCCCAATTAATTAGAGAAAAGCTTTTAATAATCCATATGACTATCTTTTGAAATATTTTGGGGCACTGTAGATTTAATTTGGGCACAATTCTAGGCTATTTTCTATCCATTTTCATGGGTTTGCACTATTATGCTCTCTAAGAGAGATTTAGGCAATAATTGACTAAATCTCATGGTATTTATTTGTAAGGTCCTCCATCATCAAAAATAAGGTTTGCGCCCACTATGCATCGTTTGGGGGCTCTTCTACCCCTTTGGTATTTCTAGCGGTTTTGTAGTGCATATGATACCCGATTTCTATCGGGATGGGTGACCTTGCATTTTTGCAAATGATGGGTGATCCTAAACTTGGATGCCTTTCAAAATCTCCGGCCCTTTAGGTTTTAAGCTTATTTTTAGGTGCGGAGTGATGCAGTTTCGTACTCTATGTTTGACGAAACTGGTGTTGGGGGTGCGCTGATGCAAAAATACCCTCAAACACCTGAGTCAAAAGTATTTCAGTGCGGAGGGATTGTTCCTTTGTCATGAAGCTAACTTGAGTTAGAGACTCATTATCGGAGTTCCAATGAGATTGAAGGTCTTAGAGGCTAGGGTACCTATGATAGTCTAGGATGGTCCATGGTACCATAGGCTAGGTCATAGGGGTTTTAATTTACTTTAGGGTTTGACAAGTTTAGGTTGTGGTTCTTGGAGGTTCAGAGAGGTCATGGAGTATCAGAAATCTAGGTCTATGGGTTGGAGTCTTAGGGTTTCAATGGTGAAATATTCGGGTTAGGGATCAAAATATTTGGTTTTGAACCCTATGGAAAAGGTCATTACAAAGCAAAACGCTTGTAACTAACCTCCACCAATTGCAGGCTCAATCTATGTTGTCGGTCATTATGCAACGCAACTCGTGTCACACGTGACTCGAGTCGGGTCATCGTATGTTGGGGTCTAGACAATATAGGGCACATTTTTAAAGTGCTTTGGGATGTTTTTGAGTGTGCAACACAACCGATATCTGGCACGATGCGGCACAAAGTGACTGGCACACTTGACTGTAATTGAACTTTAAGTAAACACAATTGTTCCGGCCAAAAATTGTAGATGGCGATTATTGGGCTGTTGAAAAACTTATGATCTCCTGTATAATTTAGATCCAAAATTGACCTGCTTTAGGTGTGTTTTGGGGATTTCTAGATATCAATTAGTGGATATAGTAATTTTTTATATTTGTAAAGCTTGAGAGTATCTAGGATGACTAGTTAACGTATTTAGGTAACACTTTTGTTATATCTAGGATTGCTTTAGGAAGGTGCATGGACCTGTAGTTTATGTTATATCTAGGAGGTATTTATGTAACACTTTTGTTATGTCTAGGATTGCTTTAGGAAGGTGACTAGGCTTGGGCCTGTAGTTTATGTTGTATCTAGGAGGTATTTATGTAACACTTTTGTTATGTCTAGGATTGCTTTAGGAAGGTGACTAGGTCTGGGCCTCTGGTTTAGGCTTGTGATGCGTAGATATCCCCTCTGCCATAACTGGGTGTTTACAATATGAAAAATACATTTCTGGTGCAGATTTGCTCTTGAACTGACTTGGCTTGCGTCAAGCTTCAATTATTTTTTAAAGAAAATTTCAAATTATCCATGACGAAAATTTCTTGCAATGAAAGCATAAAACATCGGAAAGAAGTAGGAAAAAATAATTCGAAACGGGTATTTATAGAGAAATCTATGGAAGCACATTGATGTATCCCATCTAAAAAGCTATGGAGAAGCTCGTCTCAAGGCCATCTGGGACTAAAAGTTTAACTTAAGCTATATCTTTCTTAACTTTTAAAATTACCCTAAAAAGTTGCTAGATTACATAATTTATTTCGAAACGCCTTTATGGTACTATCCAAGAGGATATAATCTTTTCTTTTGTGAGGGATTGCAACCTCTGTAACCTAGCCACCAACCTCAAAAATCGAAATTCTAATAGGAAATTTTATGTGCTCGAAAAAAATAATATCCTAATATTGAATAGGGAATCTTTTAAATTTTGGAGGATGAGATCTAAGTGTTGAAAATTTTAAAATCTATTTTTAAATAAAAAAAAGCATCTAGGTGGGTCGCAAAATTTTAAAAAAACAAGAACAAGCGTCTAATCATTCTAAGCGGGTCGCAATATTTTAAATAAAAAAAATCCTCCCAAATGTCTCTTTTGCCCAAGGGAGTTAATGTGTAATATGCTCCCATTGGAGTTAATGACTAATACTCATTGTCTGTCCTCAACGCATGTCACGAAGATGAACTATTTCAAGGATCCACCTTTAAGTTTGGAGGATTGATGGAAGAGGTCTTTTTTTATATTAGAGTACTGTACACATCATGTGTAGTGTAGATTGCCATTAAATTGGGTGTTTGCCCATGAATTTCTGTGTGCGTATGTTTCTTGATCAATCTATAGGAAAATATAACATTATTATTTGCATGTTTTCTTGAAATGACACATTATTGTAATTTCTCTTAAATTAGGTGAGGTTCATCGTCATCATGCCTCCACGCATTTATTTACATGCGTGGCTCTCATTTATTGGGCTCGTTCTGATAGCTTTGGAAGGTGCCCTTTCTAGAAGTCCTATTTCACATTCACTTGGGTAAACCCTTCATCAAGGATAGATATTTGAGTCTCATTTTATTTTTTTTTATTTTTTTATTTTTATTTTTTGGGGAAAAGAAATGACTGAGATTAGTGTTCCTTAACACCAAGTTTGCATATCTACACCCTACGGGTAGACCCGACTTGGGTCTGGCTATGGTTTCAAAAATTAGACCCCGAGGGTGTATTCGGGTCCAAACACTATTCGGCTCCCAGTCAGGTCCAGGTCCCACATTATTTTTTGTGTCCTAATTTGTGAAATATATTTAGATATATATATATATATATATATATATATTTCATTTTTTGGGTTGGGTCGAATGGAGTTTGGGTTCCATATTATATTTTTGAGCATGAGTCTGGGCTCCGGACCTTTCCTGTTGCTACCCTTATTTAAGGTACCAAAATGAGAAGTGTTGAGGTGCTATTGAAATTGACGACCATTCTTTGTCAATATCAACGTATTTCAACCCGATAAAATGTTTATGGGTACCAAACTTGCAAGGGAGAAGTGTTGAGGTGCTATGGAAATTGATGACCATTCTTTGTCAATATCAACGTATTTCAACCCGTATAACATGGTTCCTCAGTAACGAGATCCATAGTTTATTTGATTGATCCGATCCATAGTTTATTTGATTGATCTACTTATATAATACATGAAGAAAGGATGTGATTCAATAGAATAGAGGCTCAATCCAAACTTTTGGCAAAGTTAGGTAAATTGAGGGGTTTTTTATTGGGAAATGGCATACCTACTAATATCATGCAATCTTTGTTGGTTTGACAAAGAGGACTTCCCTTATGGAAATGAACTTGTACGAATTGTTTACGTGACAACCCTTTTCTTGAGCACTATTTCTCTCTGGATAACCTGCCTACATGTTAAGAGACAGAGAAGGGTAGAGGTCAATCGCTTGGATCGCAAGTAAAAGGCTACCTAATCCGTGAGAAATAATTGGCAAAAATAAATGTGTTTACATGCCTAATTGCTTGCCCTCATAGAGAGAGAGAGGTTTTTTTTTTTAGGAAGATTACTTGGACTCGCGATCATAGCGAGCTCGAGTATCTTAATTTGAAGATTTTAAAAAAAATTCAAAAAATAATAAAGAATTAAAAATAAAAAAAATTATTTGTAGCATGCTCTATCCTTTCAGTAACGATTGGATAGTACTTTGGCTGTGAATATCCATTTTTACATTTTTTTTTCAATTTTTGAATAATTTTAAAAATACCCCCAGTCATAAATTAAAATTTCAAAATCTATTTTTTTACTAACTTTTTAACTTTTATTTAATTATACTTTTAAATTTTTATTTTTTTAATTTAACTTTTTTTTTTCTACGGCCCAATTCGAGCCGAAAGCATGGGCGGAGTAGTCTCCCCGGGTCATTGACTGTTCCTAGAGAGAGGTCCTTCTCGCTATTTAGATGGAGACGGATTTTGCACACCTCGCTCACTCACTAGAGAGAGGGAGAGAGGCGTTTTATGATCCAAGGGTCAACGTCATTGACTTTTAATGTCCGGCGGCAATCACAAGGTCCAAACGTCGGTAACAATAAAAGTGAGTTCTTCTTTGCCTCGTCACTTTCCTACCCTCGTTTCGTGTTAAACCAATTACCAAATAACTCCCTTTACTACTCTCATTGGGGATTCTCTCTCTAATTTGGCCTTAATTCTTCCATCAAATATCCATGGTACCCTCATGACCAAATTACACCATGTGTTTGCCTCTTAAGACAAATCATAGGTTTGGATGGGACAGTTAGGTTGATCCCAGGAAGAAATGAAAAAAAAATTGATGGGCAGTTTGGTCATTCAAACCGCAAATAACATACATTACATGTCCTAAAAAAAAAAAAGTTTAATATCTCTCTCTACACAATGATTTATTCATCCATTTACAACATCAAGTCCAAAAGCACAATAAACAAAACAATCTCAATTTAATGAAGAGGCATTTTGAAGTACAAGAAGCAAGTCCACTTGGGCTTTTGAACCATGTATTGTAGAGCTATGATCCGGTAGGATATGTTGGTGAAGTAGCTTGGCTGCAAAAGAAAAAGTAGATACCGCATTAGGGTAGATATATCGAGGAAATAGCAAAAAATGATAGAAATAGCGCAGAGAAAGCTGTACTGAATCAAATTTTTTTCAATATTGCTATTTTTCTAATAAAGTTTAATATCAAAACTTCCTCAAATTCCAACAAGATACCCAATGCTAATATGTTAATGCAACATAAGAAAAAGAGAGAGAGAGAGATCAAATGTAGTAGTGATAATTGGAATTTTGGTCTGAGGGATAATATTTTTGGGAGTAAGTTAAGAAGAGCACAATTGGTGTATTTATCACCCCTTGCTCCAATCTTGAAGTCAGTGGGCACTGTCGATAAAATATCAAGGGTAATTTAGTCATTTTTAATTGAATAGTAGTTTCGGAGCGTCTAGGGTTTGCTTTCTACCTTGACTTTATACATTTCGAATCATTTGAAGAATCTTCCAAGCCTATTTACGTTAACTTTATCACTGTCAGAGAGAGAGACATAGAGAGAAACAGAAACAGATACAGAGACAGATCGTTTGAGGAATCTTTCATGCCTATTTACATTCACTTTATCACTATGAGAGAGAGAGAGAGAGAGAGCTTACTTCAATGGTGTCCAGTAAAAATCACTGGTTTGATAATCAAGGTTGAGCTCCTCCCATGGCTCATAACCCATGGATGAACTGGTTGATGTATCAGTCTGATTCATTACCAGAGGCTCTGGTAAATTACTGGCATGAGAGCAATCCCCACTATTCACATGATCTTCACCCATCAATTTGAGGCTATTCAATATGGAATCCTCTTGAGTATCATTTCTTAAGTATGAAGAATCATGAAAACCACTTTGAATTTGGACATTTTCGACCCCATGAGCATTGGGATCCACAGTTGCACTATCAGTTGAAAGCCCCAGAGAAAAAGCTAAGCTTTCAAGCTGTGATGGATCCATCAATGGTGGTTCACTGGACTGGAATGGCCTGGAAAAAGCCATGGGATCCCAAATGTTGATTGGGTTTTGAGGAATAACGTTGTTCATGGATTGTAAAAGGCCTTGAAGGTATTGAATTTTTGCTAAGCAAGCAGCTTCAGTTTGTAATCTGAGTGCATGATCAAATGGGTACATCCATTGATTCAAATTGGTGGCCGCTGCAATCAGTTGGGGGAGATTGTTGAGTAAATTGAGGTCAGTTCTCGGTCTATGGGTTATGGGATCAAAGCCATTTTGGATTAGCTTTTTCTTTAGGTGGGTGTTCCAAAAGTTTTTGATTTCATTATCAGTTCGGCCCGGAAGATGAGTGGCGATGGCCGACCACCTGGCAGAAAGAGATCATGAGAGAGAGAGAGAGAGAGAGAGAGAGAGAGAGAGAGAGAGAGAGAGAGAGAGAGAGAGAGAGAGAGAGAGAGAGAGAGAG